GGGCGTGAAACCAGGGCAGTGCTGGAGCCCAGGGCCCGAGGGGCGATGCTGGAGCAGCCTCAGCTCTCCATCACTTGGTGCTGGGTCCTTCATCCTCTGCACAAGAGGATGAGGAGGAGGAGAAGGGCTTGGTGCTGGTGCTGCCGGGGTGTCCCAAGCCGGAGGTGAGGCCACGCACACATCCACCATCCTCAGAGCCATCTGAGCATCGTCCGTGAGGGCCCCGGCTCTGCCCAGGGCACTCGCCGTCCTCGCCGGCAGGGCGTTGGCGGTGGGTTACGTCAGCGCCGGCACGGTCCCTGTCTCCTGTCGCTGGTGGTGATGGTGGCACGCGGCCCGGCTCAACCCGTGCCAGCGGCTCAGCACAGAGCGGGCGCCAGCGCCGGGAGGGGCGCGGCAGGCACCTTCCCAGCACGTGCGATGACAGAGTGGGCAGGAGCGGAGCGAAGCCAGCGTTGCCGTCACCACCTCCTCGATGCTGTTTATCATTACCTGCTGTTTACACACCTCCGGCCAAGTTTCCATCCATCTGCGAGGTGTCCAGCCAGCTCGTCCACATCTGCCCAGGGGACAGCCAGGGGCAAAGGCCCCTCCAGCCTCAGTGCCTGCGGGCAGTGGGCATGGAGGCGCCGCGTGGCAGCAATGTCCCTGTTTCTCCGGGATCGGACACTCCCAGGGCCCATCACCACGGACAAGCCAGCTGCGATGGCATGGAGGGACCAAGGGGAGATCCCTCTGGTACCTCAGGGTGCTTGGGAACAACCTGGGGACATCCCTGCCACTGCTGGAGCATCACTGAGCCTCTGCTGAGTCACAGACGGATGGAACTGAATGCCTGGGAGGTGCCACAGCAGGGGACGATGTCTGTCTCCGCAGGGCCTGGGGACCCTTCTGGCCAGGGGCGCGGCCAGCGGCACCCACAGAGCCCCGTGCCAGGCTGCAGCGGGCAGGAGGCCCGAGACCCCACTTGGCCCCGGGGCTGAAGTCCTTGGCCGTGCCGGTCCCGTAGCTTCCCCTACACCATCAGCGGTGCCGGGAAAACAAGCTCCTGGCACTGCCCCTTGCTGCCAGGCAGGGTGGCACCGGAGCCGAGCACTGGCCCTGGGGGGGCTCCGTGGGGTGCAGGGGCACTGGGGACATTGCTGCCGGGAAAAGCGCTGTCTGGCCTCGGCGGCAGAGGAAGGAGAGGGATGCGGGGACAGGCAATGCTCTTTATTTCCCCCGGTTTCACACCACAGATGGGACTGAGCAGCACCACGGAGACACATGGGGGCTCTGACCGGGGCTGCAATCAGCCGCGACAGCGTGGGGCTGGGTGGCCATGACCCCTGTCCCTGGGTGAGCTGCCCTGGGCCACCCCTCTGCCTCTGGCTGGGCAGCAGTGACGGAGCAGTGACCCAGGGCACAGCCACGAAGGGCCCTGGCATAGACGGACGATGGAGGGATCTCCTGGCTGCTGTCGGGGGGCTGTCTCTGTAGCAGAGTGGGTCTGGGACCTCTGGGGACATGGGGCTGCCCGGGATGGGGACCCACAGGGCACAGCCACGTCTGGCAGAGCCGGGCTCAAGGTTACTGCCCAGCGCCGCTGCCGGCAGGGAAGCCACGCCCGGCCGGCGCACCCGCACAGCAGGCTGAGATGCTCAGCACCCCAGGGTGCCGCGTTCCTCTGGCACCAGGCAGGCCTGTCCCCGAGGGCCGGGCACCCACAGCCCCACACACAGGGGTCTGCGGGGACCTGCTCCTGCGGGCCGCTTCAGCAGCTGCCCACGCAGGGTCTCCCCAGGGAGGAGGAAGTCTTCTTCGGCACGACCTGCTGGCTCTGCCTCTGTCTGCCCAGGGCAGGAACCAGGTGCTCTGCTCCACAACGGCAGCGTTATGGTGGCAGGGTCAGGCCCAGCCACGCTCACGCGATGCAGACGGGAACAACCTGCCCCAGGCACAGGCCAGCAGGGCCATGCTCACCCTCCCCGGGATGGGTAGACTCCGCACATCGACAACGGGGGAACCCCTGTTCCTGCAGGGTTAGGGACCAGATCCAGCCCTCAGCTCTGGAAACGCATTCTCCTGACCCTGCCTGCCCACAGCACCAGGGTTCGGGGCTGGAGCCGGCCTCGCCACCTCACCCACCCTCTCTATCCCGCACACCCTTCGGTTGGAAGGGTGCCTTCCCCACCCGCACAGTTCATGGGGCTGTTCCAGCCCAGTACAGGCAGGATTTGCCGGGGCGGCAGCTCTGCCCCAGGCAGAGTCACTGGGCAGGACAGTGCCAGGCATGCGTGGGATGCTGCAGAGTGCTTTGCAGCAGGGGCTCAGACTATGTACAGGACTCCCTTGACGTGCACCAGGATGTGACCCCACCGAGGGGCATGGCAGCAGCTCAACCACTCACAGCGACACGACACGGCAGTTTGGGACAGGACATGGACGAAACTGCGGTCCGGGCAGTGCTGGCGGTGCAGGGCAGGGGCCGGCTGGGCCCTGTGTTGAACCCCAGCATGGCCCGGGGGTACCACGCACCGCGTGCAGACGTGCAGCAGGACTCATCGGAGCTCGTGGTCGACCGGAGGCTGAGCTGGTATGGGCTCTGTGGGCTGAGGATGGCCGTTTCCCTCGCAGCCTGGGTGAGGGGCACAGGGCTGATCCGACCCCTCGCAGGCGCTGTCGTTCTGCCCAGGGAGCTGGAGGAAGTCAGGCAGGACCAGGTCCTCCTTGGAGAGCAGCCCACGCTGGTCATTGGCCCGGCAGCTCTGGGCA